ATGCATATTTTTTTAACAAATGTTGTTCTTGATAACCTGAAAGTTTGTTTGAGTATTGCCCGACATAGCGACAAGTAATGTATATGCAAACTGGAGTACAGCTACTGGTTAATAGAATAACTCGTCAATATTATGTCTCCAAGAAAGAAACATGATCCGTCAAACTTTGAATATTTCTAGTGACTTGCACATCACCTACTGAAATGTGCGAACATTTCGAAGACATAATAATTATTAAAAAAATAATCGCTAATGGATATACAATAGAATATTGATTTTAAATGCCCCTGGGTTAATATCTAGGAAATCTTCGTGAATGCGTTTGTTGAAGATTGTATTACAGTCTACGTGTATCGGTATACATGATATAACCTGGGACAGTCTGTATAGCTGTCCTTGGTATAACGGTCCATATAGCTGAAAATATTTGAATGAAGAGTTGACATGTTGAAGACGAATCATGGGGTTCAATAGAATGGAGGAAATCCTGGAAGTAATGGAATTGCGGTCTATCTATAAGCACTGGTTTAGTCTAGTATATATATATAATTTAAAACAGTCACTTGTCAGAAAATCAGGAGTCATTATGGTACAGAAATATATTTGAAAAGCATTTGTTTGACAAATAATAATCATATAATAATTCTTCGGAGGTCTACCCCAACTTCTTCTTGTTTTTTTTCAAAAGCTTTCAATACCAATGTGATTAATGATAAACTCTAAAGAGCGGGATACCCACCTATATGAGGCATAGGGGGTGGGGTTGGGAGCTAGGGCTTGGGCGTGGGCTGGAGCTGCAGTTTCCCTGAACATTTTGAAATTATTAATATTCGCACAATCCCCACTTCGTACTCGGGCACTCGGCACCTCTTATTCGGCCTATGTAATCTTGGACGAAACTTGCTGCGCTCCCTCACAAAGTTTAGACACTGAGATGTTTATTTTGGGGCAAGAGACTTCTGCTCCCGATAGTGAAAGTGTATATTATGCTTGGACGTACAGTGAGACGACTACCCCATTTATAATACAAATTATAATGAATTAGGGAGCTTTGGGAGAAATTGCTCTTAGTCGCTTGAAATTTGGGGCCGTTTAATGATGAGAGGAAAAGGGGACACTTATCAGAAAGAAAAGGAGCATGTGTACAAAGGTGCGTACAAAGTACGCACCTTTGAGTACAAAGAGTGAGTACAAAGAGTAATTATCGGAGGTGAAAATGGGGCACTTCTTACACCCTCAAAAAGAAGCACTCACCCGGGATGAAAAAAGTCAGTCACGAGAAAAGGAAATGGGCATTTGTCGACGGAAAAGGGTCCCCCATCAGAGATTAATAGGGGCATTTATAGGAGGTGAAAAGGGGCATAGGGGATAGGTCCCTTATTAGAAAGGACAAGGAGCACGTATCATTGTTAAAAGGGAAATTATCAGAGGTGAAAAGTGACACTTATCGCACCTGAAAGGGGCCTTGACCAGATATAAAAAGAGGCACTTTGAATGAAAAAGGGGCACTTATAATAAAGTAAAATGTACATTAGTTGAAAGAAAATGGGCACCAATCAGATTTTAAAGGAGCATTTATCGGAGGTTAAGGGGGCACTTATCTGAAGTGAAAAGGAGCAACTTCTCGTACCTGAAAAGGGTCATTTACCAGAAAAGGGGCATTTATGAAAAGAGGAAGGGGCTCTTTTTTAATGGGGCACTTATCATTAGGAAAAGGGGCACTTATTAGAAAGGAAAAGGGGCACTTGTCAAAGTAAAAGAGGCACCTCTCAGATTTGAATAGAGCAATTATCTGAGGTGAAGGGGCACTAATCAAAAGTGAAGAGAGGCACTTCTCGTACTATAAAAGGGGCACTTACTAGAGATTAAAAAAGGCACTTATGAGAATGGAAAATGGACACTTATTGCAGAGGAAAAAGGGAACTTGTCGAAGAAAAAGGGGCACGTGTCAAAATAAAGGGGCACTTATCAGAGTTGAAAAAGGGAAGAGGCAAGTTTACAAATTAATAGGGGCACTTGTCAAAGTAAAAGGGGCACTATTCCTATGTAAACTTCTTACACAGTTGCAGGGGCATTTTTCAGGTGCTTGAAAAAATGGGGGCACTGTGCCCCCCCCCCCCCTGCCCCCGGGAGAGCCGCCTCTGTCAACGTGTGAGTAACAACATGGCTTTTAACTTTCAGCGAACTTAAATGCATGAAATCTCAGGAATGTCACTAATATTATTCGCAAAGAAATAAGAAATATTAACAACAATAATTTATTCCAATCTGGACTTGGGTAATCCAGATTCAAATCAAATTACATGCCAAATCCTTATAATTTGAGAACTCTCTCATTTATAGGGCTTATAGCCTCCACTGCTTTGCTTTTCTCATGGTATAGCCAACTATCACCTCCATCACACTTTATATGACATTTTCGCTGTATATTTAACTTTCTCATTTTCACTCCTTCGCTTTCCTCATTAAAGTATTTATGAAATCACTAAAAGTAAATTCTCTCTTTCTCATGCAGTAGTAGAAAGACATCGCATTTATACAAACATTAACACAATACACTTAAATAATTAATTAATGATGCTTTTTGCAGTTGAAATGTAATCCATGTTTCTTTATTTGGCAATACAAATAAATGAACTGATAACAAATAAATAATTATTTACACAAAATAGGTTGTCAATCACTTTTATAAATAACACAACTTGCAAAATATACAAATGTATATCATGCTGTTTGTTCTGACGTATAACTTTATACATGACATGGACCCTTTAAAAACGTATAAGTTTATACATCGTACAGACCATCCAAAAACGTATAAATTTATACATCGTACAGACCATCCAAAACGTATAAATTTATACATTGTACTGACCATCCAAAACGTATAAGTTTATACATCGTACAGACCATCCAAAACGTATAAATTTATACATCGTACAGACCATCCAAAACGTATAAGTTTATACATCGTACTGACCATCCAAAACGTATAAATTTATACATCGTACAGACCATCCAAAACGTATAAATTTATACATCGTACAGACCATCCAAAACGTATAAATTTATACATTGTACAGACCATCCAAAACGTATAAATTTATACATCGTACTGACCATCCAAAACGTATAAATTTATACATCGTACAGACCATCCAAAACGTATAAATTTATACATCGTACAGACCATCCAAAACGTATAAGTTTATACATGGATTTGGAGGGTGCGTGCCATGTATAAACTTATACATATAAACATACGTATAAACTTACACAGTGATCCTACAAATTGACCCTCTTAAAGTGATGTGAAACTTTAATATAATAACAAGGAGTAATTACAGCTGGAGTAAAAGCTTAACAATTTCCTCTGAAGTAGGCTCAATGCCACAACAACCACGACAAATATATATGCGCTCTCCGAATACATGCACATTGATTCAAAAGAACTAACGATGAAACACCCGCGGCCAGTATTGCTACAGAGGATGCACATATGCAATTAAAGGTATTCAATATAATGATAATTGGTTACACAGAAAGTGCTCATGAATGGTATAACCAGGTGTAAGCAAACAGATACACGTCCAAAAATACAAGATTTAAAGTTGCTAATTCCATGAGTGGACACATGTGGACTTTACTCTGGTTGATTTAATTTAATAGAAATATTTTCTTGATAGTACCATATAAAATATGAAAATCAGAAAAGCAATCAGCAAGGGATCAATATTGTACTTGAAGCAGTACATATTTATTACACTCTTAAGGCAATATCTCAAGAATTCTTGCTTGTTGAGGAATGGGATTTTCAGAGTGGCATCGTACATAATTACTAAACAATTGCCTATTTGTTTTCTATGTTTATTGATATAATAAATCAACTGTGCAAACAAAAACCCACAAAGTTCACATCCTCTCTAAAATGTTTTCTTTTACTTTGGTGGCATCGCGCATCAAATATCAAAGAACCAAGGCAGTTTAATAATTCTATTGACTATCCTTTGGAATCTGCCAGATGTTTGCATAAATTATCCTCAGTTTGGACTCCAGCTCTGATAATTCCTTGATTATAACTTTGAAGTATATGATCTTCCAACTACATCATTGATATCAACAACCGTCTTCTGATGCTTGGAAATGAGTTAGATCGAGTGTTTCATTTTGACAAGATGGTAACAAAATCAAGGGCCCAATAGTTGTGACCCGAGTTTTTATCCTTGATAAAATAATAATATGTGGGTTTTTGTGTTGATGCTTTAGAAAAATAAATAAGGTGACGAGTCACGTTCACCAACCCTGTGCCTTTGAAATTACCTTCAAAGTAATCAAGTTCACTTGGCAAGACAAAAATATGCTCTAATAAAAGATAATAATAATAATATTGCACTCTAGTATAGCGCTCATCTATATAGCAAGGTGCTCCTGCATGTATGTTACCTGACCTTAACTAGGCTACATATTTTGGTACAACATAGTTTGAGTGTAGTAAATGTATGTTAAGGTCTTGCCAAAGCTAGACCTTAGTGAAGTGGCCGAGATTTGAACCACATACATGTACCTAATGATCGGTAGTCCAGCCACCTATCTACTAAACTAAAAACACATCTACACATAGACTTAAATACTTGTATTAGATAGCTCAGAGAGTTGCTAAGGTGTGATTGGTCCACAGCATGTCAAGTGATATGGGGACTGCAATTTATTGTTAACAGTTCACGCCCGGTCATCTGGATGGTTATATTGACCAGCTGGTCAACGATAACAGTAGGAGCATACGCGCTTGAGCTAAGACAATGTATTCATGTATCAACAATATTCGTCATAACAGCTAAGCACAGAGAAGAAAGGCGAAGACAATGGATATCTACTGTAGATCAGACTCTATTAAACTGTTCGTGTTCAGACTTTCATGTAAAAACCATGACTTGGTCTTAATCAAGGTTATCTAATATTATAATAGATATTTCCTGTTATGTATGTAATACACATTCTTTAGCCTACCTAAAGGAGTTTTATTTTCCCTCATGAAAATACAACTCCAGCGGCCAAAAGAATGATATATAAACACCCTACCAGCCATATCTGTATAAAAATATTTACATAAAAACGTTAGTTTGTCACATATCTTAACAATATTTTTCAGAACTAAATGAGGTAGTGATCGAGGTGAGGAAATGAGAGAAACAAAATGCACTAAGGTATAGAACACGTCTGGTCCATGCTTAATACTAGATCTGCATCTAGAATCTCCTCCGAGTCTGCAGCACCCATCATGGCCTCTATTTCTGTGCTGGACAGTGTTGTCTCCTCTACCATCCTCCCATTTCGTCCACATTCTGCTGCAACCCTTGCCAGCAGTCCTGAAAATATAATAGAGAAAAGAATATTTAATTTTGTTTGTCTGGTGAAGCTTGTGAAGAACCAAGTTATTAGACGCAACACTAGGTAAAGTGCTTTAACCACAGCAAACGAGCACCTAATTCCATACCAAATGCATTACATATTGTTCATTTTTGTATTTTACTTTGGTAAGTTCAATATGGAATGCTTTAGTAAAGTTCAGTCTGTCTTCGATTTTCAAAGCTGGTTTTCGAGTTAAATTTGCTCAACATCTCTTTATCAATACATTTCTACTTAAATGATAAACCCCCTTTTTTAAATTTTTGGTTGTCTTACTAAAATAATACTTTTACATTATCAATAAAAAGAAAAAAGAAAAAAAGCATAAACCCTTACTGAATGGGGCTATTTTGAAATTTGTAAGACTGGAGGGGGGGGGGCCTCAGAGCCTACCCCTTAAGTAACCAAATTTGGCACTGACGTTTCAATTTTCTTGTTAGAATTTTTAAAATCTGATTTTATTTCTCGAAAATGGTATACACATATGAGTTATAGTTTAAATAGACCAATCTGAATGTCTCAAATTTTAATATCTATGGAAAGTATTTTTAAATAGTGAATATGTGAGCCATTGTTTAAAACAATATATCTAACGATCGGTTCTAATAACCACCGTTTTAATTTCTCTCCTGGTGAGAATATATATAAAAAATCTCTGTTTGTAACCTATCTAAAATGTTTCATTCCAAATTGTTTTTGGTTTCAGAGTTTTTGAGAAGATATAAAGCTCTCTATATCTCTCTTGACTTGGATTTTTTTTAAATTATATGCTCACAATGTCATCTTAAGTCTTTAAGCTTTTACACAGTTCATTTCTTCTCAAACAGTTTTTATATGCCTTTTTTTTGCATATTTTTCAATTCTTATGTATTTCAATGTTTTATGAACATTTTTTTTTTTTGCATTCTACTGGAAAACTGGAAGAAAAAAAAAAAAAAAAAAAAAAAATCGGCTCGACCTTTTATCATGAAAGGTCTGATTTTCAACACCTCAGTGTCATAAGATTTATAACACTTGAAAAAAAAATCATGAAGCGCTAGCTATTGCTGAAAATGCAATGGGTTTGACAACAAAATTTGTCTGGGGGGGGGGGGCGCCATCTGAGACCTTTCCGGTAAAGTTAGGGTTAACACAAATTTCCGACAAGGCACAGGGTTGCTTATTGATATTGACCATGATTTTGCACGACCCCAAGTCTCGTGACTAAAATCTTTGTTGTGCAACACTGGGCAACTTTGATGCTATTAATGTCAGTTATTATGCGTCTAGAATTTATGGATAGTGAAAAATAGGTAAATATACTTGAATTGAAAAAAGCCAATCTGAATTTACACAATTTGGACGTTATTTCACAACTTTCCTTTCCTTACATTTTATTTTATTTTTGTATTCATGTTGCTTTATTGGTATCTCTATATATTTAATCTACCCATTTATTCTAAAACTGTATCATAATTTAATTGGATCTGTATATAGATAAAATGTCTTACCGTCTCCAACGTCAAGAACCACTTCATCAATAGAAGTGAAATGCTCCACTGCATATTTGTAGAAGTCTGATCTTGATGGCATGTAGAGTTGGCTAGTGCCAGCACCCCTCCTCCTAGACTCGACAATACCATACTGCATACAGACATTATGGTTGACATCTGTTGATAAATATATATGCACATTTTATATGGCTACTTAGAACAGTATGAATAAGCCTTAATTTCCTATAGAAGTAAAACGAATATACATACATGTGATTTTTCACATGAGGCACAATTTCTTTTCAAACAGATACAATGTGATTTTTTGAGTTCTGAATGCACCTTTTTCTTTAGGAATAAAAACCCAGACATTAGAAATGCATTTGTTTCACAATTACTCCGCAGTTGTCTAATTAATATAATTAGCTTGCTTTGGAGGTAATGTGTTTGAGATCACATGGCAAGCATCTTATCTTCATTTGTTCAGCATTAGTCAGCTATTATATGTTTTTTTTCCCCAAAAGCATTCAGTAATCATTATTTTTTGAAGTTTTGAACATTCATTGTAAATGTCATTGGATTCTGTCAGAAGTTAATTTCTGTCATTACCAGAACTCAAGATTATATTTAAAATCCAAGTGATATAAACAAAAATTTATATGAATGTTGAGCTTCATAGGAGGATTTCTTAAGAAAGAATTTTCATTCAGATCGAGCAGCCAATCTAACACACTGGAAGTTATACGGTAACATTCTTTCTTAATAATTTATATTTTTTTAACACACACTGCAGCTATCTCATTATTACACAACCACAAAAACGTTTGTTATGTTGCTTTGAATACCGAAATAACAGTCAGCTTCATAAGATATTTAATAAAAGACATGGAACATGCATATAGTTACCTTGAATATCTCCTACTGGGGACTGGACAATATGCAATATATGCACATCGTGTCGGGTATGTTGGCTGACCACTTTGGATATCGCTGTGATGTCCTTTGTCAGGAAGATTCTGGTAGTAGCCGATGGTGTTGAGGATAACTGGATATCCTGTAATATCAGAAATTCAAATAAAAAGGAAAGAACATACAAATTAACTATAATTCTAATATGTTGAGCCCAGATAATATACACAGTGCAAAGTTCTGGAAACTGTTTTTTTTATTTTATACCCTTTTCATAATTATCTGCAGCTTAACATTTGCTATGTTGAATCAAAATAGAAAAATCAAATTTGAAAATAGGATGAAATAGCATGTGGGTGCAGTTTTCCATGCCAGTCGTCTGGGCGAAAGTGCCATTGTACGTAATATATGACTTGTGGGAAAATTGCAATTTCTATGCCATGAATATAATTGTTTGTTTTTTGTTATCAATGACAAATTACCAATGATTTTTCATCAGCATAAGATCATTCTCCATGTAAATCCCTTAACCTTGAGTTCCTTATAGATTACAATATTACAACTTTGAGATATTTTAAACTCACAATTTTGAGATTTGTTTTATGTGAAATTCAGTTTACCTCTTTCAATTACCAAGTGCCTACAAATAAGTGCTTTGGAACCTTAAGAATATGGGACAATACCTCTTCTAGTTCTTGTATCATAAGGGCTGGGATGTCGTCTGCATTCATGTCCATGTCTCTCTTGGCCCTGCTGATGTGCTCCAGGAAGACCTCTGGGATGTTACCTTTTGTATACTTTTTACCTGAAAAAAATACATATACATTGATCATAGAGCTCCGGAGTCAATTTGACCCCCCCCCCCCCCCTCCCCCCACAATATCTTGGCCACAGAAGGTCTGATTGATGGGAAATTTTGCATGGACAGCAATGCACATGCAAAGAAATGTTGCTTTGATGTTTGTTTTTTACAAAAATCACTCATTTATTACTTTATTATAATTCATGCAAATTAAATTCCTATTTTAACACATTCAATAATATATCATTAAACAAGGCAAACGCCAAGCGTTGTCTTGCCTGCATCTTAGGCCCTATAAGCAGATCAGGAGGTGAATTTTGGGTTCTGGTAGTTTACTCTTTAGCAATAATGGAATCCCAAGGAAAGTCTGTTTTCCTTTTGACCTGTTGCCTTTGACCCACATTTGAACTTGACATGTTTTATAGAACAATTTAGAAAAGGCAGTATTTTGTACACAAACGTACTATGCAAAATGTCAATTGTGGCTAGACGTGTGGTTAAGTAATGTTGCATAACCTCTAGCATGGACTGTCCCAATTTTGGGGCAAATTTGGTCTCAAAAGTTGCGAGACAATAAAGTCATTGAAAGGCAGGTTGTGATTTGTAGCGGTTACGTGGCAGTCCTGGATTGTGTACGGGGGAGGCAGGGGCCAAATTGACCCCCCCCCCCCCCCAGTCAGAATAGTCAACCCTACTAGTTCATCTAAACTTTAAAATTTGGATTGATGGAGATACAGGATAGCAATTATTGTATATCTTGCTGGGGCTCAATATTCTCTTCAATAGACATTATACGAAGCCATGATTTGTGCATACCAACATAGGGTTCCAGGGCTGCTTCTGAAGTGAAGGTTGGGTATCTTTCTATCGCCTCTTCCCACGTCTTAGCCCCAACTCCCTTAGCAAACACGCTCTTCAGACTCTTCATTGCCTTCAGTTCATCGGCATCCGCCTTCATCTTTTTAACATTCAAAGACAAGGTCGCCTCCAGAAGAAGTGAATATCGCTCCTCTTCTGAGAGTCCTTGTAGCTTCATGAAACACTATAAAATAAGACAAATGAAAATAATAAGAGTAGTTATTAGTGCACGTGAAGTATTGTTGCTCACTGTCAGAAGACAAATTTTATTTGCATATATATGAACTATCAACTTTTTCAATCAAAGTCAATTCTTCTGCAAAGAATCCCCAATTCATCTATTGTTTGATTTGAATATGTAAAAAACTATTGCTTTAACCCTATTCTCACTTTGAGTGCAAGCTTAATGCGAAATATTGCAAGGACGTCAATACAGATTTGTTTTTATCACAAATTTGTTACTTTATTATAATTTATGCAAATTAGATACCTATTTTAACATATTCATTAATATTTCATTAAGTTATGAAGCTCAATCTCTTTTTTTAAAGTTGCTGAATAGCATAGGCAACAATACTGAAATAATAAATAATGAAATTTCCGATCAATTCTTTTGTATTCTATTGTTTCATAAACTACTTATGTATCTATTGTTTTCATTTATATATGTGATTTTTTTCATGTTTCAAAAGTGTATCTTGAAAAGTTTCAAGACAAGTATGGTCAGGCAAAAAGACTAGAAGGCACAATTAACAGTGTTGTAAAGCAATTTAGGAAAAGCAGTATTTTGTACACGAACGTACCTATGCAAAAAGTTGATTTTATTGTTAATTTTTAGAACTCGGTCTCAAAGTTGCGAGACAAACAAAAAAAGTCAGAAAAAGTCACCGGAAGCCGTGTCGCTATTTGCAGCCATTGCGCATCAGTCACAGATTTTGAACAGGAAATTGAACCCCCCCCCCCCCCCCCCCCTCCAGTCAGAATAGGGTATCCGCCAATGGTGGCGCTATATTACTTTATTTACTTTGGTTGTGATGATTTGATAAACTCCTTATAGCGGCTGAATAAACCACAATTCTCATTTGCACAGAAAACATGTGGTATGTGTGACATCCAGTCCAGCTCAATTTTTGTATTTTTCATATAGCTCATTATTACTCAGCAATAATATACATTTTCTACCAAAAAGTTTTGAACATTCGCAAGTCAAGTTTTGTTCGATTCTATGAAGAAAAAAAATGCTTTCCTTCATTACTCAAGATGATATTTAAATGTGTAAAAAAAAAAAAAAAAATTTAAAGCTTACTTACACATTGTTTCAAATCCTTTCCAGTAGATTCTCTAGTTGCATCGAAAAGGAGAGTGGCTTTCCTGTAGCATCTGTTTGAATAACTAGCCAACTGGAAAGTTGGCTCGAGAGCCCTCAGTGCCTGTAAATTACAACAAAAAAGAAATGGATAATATATGCTCTCATAACCAGTTTGATTCTGAACATTCCAATTCATTCACTGCAATCACCATTGCATTACATAATTCACCATATTGTAATATGACCCCTCAAGTTAAAATATAAGAAATGTTAGAACTTTTTGGCTAAAATTTATGTTTCCAACAGTCACTCTTGAAAGCTCGATCATCTCAAATCAATCATTGATTAAACTCCATTTTGTCATGTACATGTAAGTTGGCTGAATATAACAATAACCTTTTTATTGGGGGTTTGGTGATGTTCATGAGTTTTTATGCTGAACATAAATCTAATTTAATGTCCGATTCATCGTTTCATTAAAAAAAAACCTACTTCGCTACAAGTAAAAATAGAACATTGAATGAATTCAGCATTTTATCTAGATGAAAATGTCAGATGAAAATGTCAGCTCTAGTGTTTAGACTTACATTGAAGGAGCCATTTTTCCCAAGGGCTAGGGAACACTTGCGTCTTGTCGAGGCAGTCATAGTGCAGGGCCTCATCCTCCACATCAAGGTTGTTGTCATCGTATAGAATTGACCTGCAGACAGCAACCTCCTCCTGCAAGCACGGCTTGTCTACAGCAGGTTGCCCACACCTATGCAGTGATGCCACTCTCAATGCCTCAACCTTGTCCAGGTTTTGGTACACCCTGCAGCGCCATCCACGAGATAGATGTTCATATCTAAAGCAATCAGAAAAAGTATATTGGTTATAGGATATTGAGATGGGTAGGATATAGAAACATGGTGTATATATGTATCATGCAGAATAAAATATTGGAAAAAAGCTTACACGGTATACCTTTCCATGCAGTCACACACACTTTTAAGAAAACAAATATGAACATGGTACACAAGGGAAATATTCTATGGGATTTTATTTGAGTCAGGGATCTAAAAATATTTTGTATTGTCCTTAATATACCCTTCATTGTATAACTATAAATGGAACACCTCTCTATTACCATTTTTCTTCCCAAATGGTACATTGACTACCTGGGTAGCATTTCTTTTATGTTACATGCTTCCACTACATATTTGTGGACTGCATAATAAATGGAGAAAAAAAAAGACAAGTGATAAATGAATATGTTCTGTACATATAATATCGGTAAGTACATCACATAATCCCTTTAAAAATTTAACCTTTGTCTCATACACTGTAACTACAAAAAGAAACAAAAATAACATTAAAAAGCAATTGCAAAAACGGGTAACTTTTATAGAATAAAATACCTTTCATCGTCAACAAGATCCTTAGCTGCAAGAGCATAGCACACCCCCTCCTAGGAGCTGGTAAGCTGTTCCAGAAGGGCCATCTACTGCGAGGACTGGAAGGACATGGGAGCTCTGGAAGTGGGTTGCTGCCTTCATCACGAACTGTTTGGCCTCCATCACTTCCTTCCTGGTACGTGGTCTCTGGAGATCCTTCTCGGGCTCCACAAGTTTTTTGAGGGAGATTTCAGAAATGCCTACATGTAAAGAAATAAAATTTCAGGTCAATGACACATTTTCAAAGATTGTGACATTTAAATCTTTAATGTTTATAAATAATATCCCCTGTGCAGAGAACAATCTACATTTTGAAAATGACACCAGGGGCCCGTTGCATAAAGACTTACTATTATGGTAACTTTGCCATTATGGTAACTACCATGGTAACCGGGCTCAGCAGCCAATCGAAATCAAGGTTTCTATGGTAGTTACCATAATAGTAAGTCTTTATGCAACGGGCCCTGATACATATTATTAGTAACTGGATCAAAACACACAGAGGCTCATCAGGGAAATTTTGTCCTAGAGCTATACAAAAAATATTCCTATAGCCCTTTTCAATTCAATCTCATTTTGCCTTATGTGGAAAATGCAACATATGAACATTGTTTTGGGAATTGGCAATTAATCATTTTTCAACTTTATTTTGGTTTTAATCAGCAGTTGGCCATTTTACCTTCCCTGTGGCTATTGCAGAGGGGCATTAAATAATCAATTTGGCCCCAAACATGTACTTCATAAACAATAAGAAAAAGGAGATTGTAGTTTTGATGAAAAAAATGGAAATATTTGTGGTATTTGTATAGGAGTCCATTTAAAAATTGTTTGAAGTTATACAAAATCAAATAATAAAAGTGGAATGTCCCAATTTTATCAGGCTTTCAGTGCTGTTATATTGATAAACTATTTTGTACACATTCTCTCCATGATATTTGCATTTCTCTTTGATTTAAAAACTGCCAATCAATAACATCACATTTAAACTTAGTGATATCATGTAGAGAGAAATGTTGTACGTCTGGAATTATTAGTGAAATGAATTTTGTAAAAGAATGGAACACAAACTAACCTTGACATTTTTGTTCAATTGCTGCATCTGAATTCTCCGCCGAATGTTCAGAAGTCTTCTTTCGTCTCTTACGTTCTGGTGGAGTTCCGTCGCTGCTAGATCCAGAACTGCTACGTTTTTGCCTCGATTGTGTGTAAGATTGAGAAGGAAGGAGTTCTTCCTCTGATGACGGAAATGAATAGATCATGTCGTCATTAACGATCGCCATCACTGACAAAACATCGGTCAGGCTGTTCTCCGTTTTTTTCAAAGTCTTTGCCATGTTTGTGACACTCATTTGGCAAAACTTTGCCTGTGTAGAAAGACCATTACTAAAACAGACCTGGGAAGAAGTAAATCGGACAAATACAGGCATTAATATAAGCTGCTTAATGAAATTATATTCATTTTGCTTTGACAACCTCACACAAAGATTATAAGGGATACAGTTGAATGTTCTACATGTTTGCCTAGAACTAGAAATATCACCGAAAGTGATTAATACTCACTCCCCATGTGTGTGCACGAAAAATGAAGAAGTGGTTTGATATATACAAGATTTTACAGATTTATTGCAATAATAGACCATTACCATGGCAACACACTTTCCGACACATTAAAAAATGTGTCTTGCACATAATCAACTCAAGACCAATATTTGTGCGAAATTTAATGAGCATTGCTCGAAAAATGAAGAAGTGGTTTGATCTGCAAGATTTTACAGATTTATTGCAATAACAGACCATTACCAATGCAACGCACTTTCCGACACATTAAAAAAATGTCTTGTACATAATCAACTGGAGACCAATATGTGTGCCGAGTTTCATGAGCATTGCTCAAAAAAATGAGGAAGTATACATGTATATAGTTCGATCCACGAGATTTTCCCCGATATATTACAATAATATGCCGTTCCCATGGCAACGCAGTATCCAACACAGTAAAAAAGTATGTCTTGCTTGCACATCTCCATCCTAAGACCAATATGTGTGCCAAGTTTCATGATCATTGCTCAAAAAATGAGGAAGTAGTTCGATCCACAAGATTTGCAACAGACTGACCGACTGACCGCCCGACAACCCGACCGTACGCCAATTCCTATGTACATGTATACCCCCTTCAAACTTCTTTTGGCGGGGGAACATGCAAAAAAAGATCCCTTTTTCCTTGAATGCCAATTTTTACTCATATTTCTTTGTTGTACATGTACATGTAGCTAGGGTAGATATGTTTTGCATAATATACAAATTACAATTCCCCTTGAGAAATCAAGAGTGAAGTTGTAGTCTGCCTGATGATCGTGTCATGTAACATACAACAAATGTGCATGCACAGGACATTCAGAAACTTTTAGTAAGTCGATTTCCTCCGAAATGTACAAACAGTACAGACTATATACCTCTATGTTTAGAGAAACAACCTATATTTTGCACTCTCATTAATTAGATGAATTTTCATTAATACAATTGCGATACAAGTATGGGATGTATAACTTTCAACAGTTTGCACTGCGGTAGAGTTTAGATTCTGCCCTCGTTATAAAGGAGAATAAACTCCTCAGAGACAATTGAATTGTAAGAATGCAGAAAAATTAAAGTAACATAAATGTCAGTGAAATTAAGTTGAAGCAAAAACAGTCAATTAATGAGTAAAGACGTGAATTAAAAAAAAGTTATGATTACTAATGTTTAATATGGAGATCATACATGAAAAACTTTCCAATTTCTTTTGCAGATATTGCACTAAAATCACCTCTTTTATAGGAGGACTTGGACAAAAATTCTGTTCTATGAATTGACTGAGGAAAAAAATGAAATTCACATATTTTTGTACATGTGGGAGAGTTCTCCTTGTATGACATCACAAAAAGTGACTGCGTTGCCAATATGAGATATTCCATGTCATCAGTGATTGAAACTTTTAATGGTGCACCATCCTCTCAGGTTGGCTAGCACTAGGTGGGTAGTCCAGTAATATGGCATAAAGCTAGTCTTGATACCTTTACAATACATTGTACATTTCAGTATAAATTATACCTGTATAATTGGATTTATAATGGAAAACAGGAATGTATGGAAGGGCATTGTACTAATTTGTTACAAGTTTGGTAACATATTTGTGGTATGAATGTCATAAAGAATAGAGGAAAAATTTGTAATCATTTAAGTGTGCATATATTATAAGACTACATTATCAGGATGCTGCATTCTAGGTTAGGAGCCTGGACAGTTCGAGTACCACCGGTACGATTTCAGGACTCAATTATGTATACAGTTCTGTTTCTGTCCCGTTTAAAGCCAGTATAACCTATAGCACCCTTGTAAGGACCATCTGCATAAGTAAGTCGTGAACTATTATATAAATAGTGTATACTCTATCATACAATAATGAATTATATGTCCGACTAAATTACTAAATTATCCTGAGTCAAAATAAACCTGCACGAGGGATAATTTAGTATTTGGAGTTCATAGTCCAGTATTTATAGTGTACATGATAGAACATTCACTATTTATTATAGTAAATAGACTCCTAAATACAAACCCCCCTCCCATTCATGAATTTCAGATTTCTCCAAAAAGGAATTAAAAAAAACATTCTTTAGAGAATTCTAGATGTGTTTGTTTTTTTTGTTTTTTGAGAATCCTGAAATTCTGAAGAAAATTTTTTTTGGAGACTTTTTTATTTTGTTTGGTTTTTGTTGAGAATTCAGAATACTTTCTTTCTTTCAAGAATTCATAAACTTTCATAATACAATATGCTGATTTACAGAAATACATTGTCAATCGCTATGTCAAAAGGTATAAGACTAACTTTGAATGTCGCCCAGTACATAGTCTAGCTAGGTTAATCCTCTTTTAAATATCTCTTTAAAAATCTAATCTAATCTAAGATGGTTAATGTCAGCTTAAAGCTTAAAGGGAAATTGAATCTTTCATAGAAATTTGGTTTGGATGAATGTAGAAAATCAAACAAATATGAGTTTTTAAAAGTATATACAAGTATGGAGACCCTCCCATTGGCAATGTGACCATGTATGTATGACTTAGTGGGGAAACTTTCAGTTTGTTAGGTATACTTTCCTACATGTAAGTTCCATGTTTAACCAACATTGGCCATTTAGAAAAAAAAGTACTTTGTATAAAAAACACTCTCTGCACATCACATCAGAACAAAAAATACAACACAAGGACAACGCAAAGCGTAGCAAGCCCTCGCTGGAAACAAACGGCATAATACATCAGAACAAGTTACATGTACGTCCATTAGACGGAATTAAGTTACTGACATCTGGGGATTGAATGAAAAGAAAGTTTACTACTTTACGGAATAACCCAAGACATTTGACCTTTGACCTAATGTACATTATTCCAAAATCAAATTTAGGCTGTATTTGATACCATGCATGTACCTTCATATCAAATTTCATGAAAATCTGTCAAACATTTTAAATTATCAAACGGAAAACCAGTACGTGTTCACAAGATTTGTTACAGGCGGACGGAAGGACGGACAGTAGCGTTACTATTTTCCCCTCAGATTTCCTCCGCAAGGGGATT